AAAAAAACTACATTTATTGCACTTTTAACTTAACTCTTAAAACACAGATCAGATAAATTTTTTTTTAAATAAGATATCAAATTTAAATTTTATAAATAAAAAAATATGACTTATAAAAAGTTCTCTCTTATAAAATCTAATACAGTTTGATTTTAAATTAATCAAGTTTAATAAAACTTCTAGATACAAAAAAATTTAGTAAAAAAATATTATCTTGGACTCGCATATGTTTCCTAGCTAAATTCATTGCATTTTTTTTTTTACTCAAATGACAATAAGTTTAATTGGGTACCACGCATGCAATCTGATTCAAAATGTTTTACCTTAAACCTTTAATGTCTAATAAAATTTGCTTCCGATTACCCTGTCTAATTTTTTTTACGAGTTTTGTTCTTAGGTAATACGGTTCTTGTCTTGAGATGAATTACATTAAAAATTACTACTAAAATTTAAAAAAGAAAAAGAAAGTATCTCAGAAGAACCGACTGCATGTATAAAAGTTGCCTCCACCAAATCTCATATCTACCTGTTGTATATACGTACGTTGTCTGTGTAGAGAGTAGATGTGGAGAAATTATTCTAAACAAGGCAATTTAAGAAATTTTTTTAAAGATAAAAGTTTCCCTCTCTAGATGCATGAAACGTCATCCCTAGATGTATATCTACTCAAAAAACTTCAATTACCCAGGTGAGTATACTTAAATTTAAAAGTAAAGCCTAGAAAACTTGAGAAAGATAACAACGAAAAACTAAAGTTCTAAGAAGAATACACTTCTATTCATAGAGGTGTTTTATTTATGTATAAACTTTAATAAGTGTCTTTTACACCGGTCTAAAATAAGTGCAACTTTTCAAAAAAAATTTAATTTTCTGTATCTGATATTTATATGTCTAAGGCTTTAAAACATCTCTGCACCATTCGAAGCAATTACTCTGGCCATTAACGATATTTTAAGACAACTACTAAAACAGTTTTTAAACTATTTTCAACGACTCTTTTTTTTTCTTTTTTTTTTTCTTTTTTTATATCTCATACTTTCTCTTTCTTTATTGTTTCTTGCCTTGCTTCATGCCATAAATACCCTATACCACATGCTCCTTAAAAGCAATAATGCATAATATGCAAATACTACATATATATTATTAAAAAATACATAATATATAACACCATGCCGGCCCATCACATTATCCCCCACTCTCTTGTGCTGTACGATCTCCAAGCATTTCAGAGATTCTGACATCATCTTAACTGACATCAAGGTTTTGTCATGTCATGTTTAACATATGAACAGCTGAGAGCTAAGGATGAAAACTGAAGAATAAGTGATCAGCTAGTCGTGACAACGAGAAACTATAACCATGGATACTGGAGATCAATGGTATTGTAGACCAACATGGTCTGGTCCGGTGGAATTGTTTTCTGTATTGAAATGGCGATGTGAATTCACATTTTTCAACATGATTTGCATTTCTCATACAATCCAGCCAAACCCAGCAGGTTCATTTGTGCCCACAAATGGCATGTGCCAAGTGAAGAAATCTGATCGAGACTAAAGATCAATCAGTGCAAATGGAAAATGATACCAGCTTAATCCCAACTATGTTCTGGCTTTCCAAAAATATAAAAAGATTTGGATAACTTATGTTTTTAGAATACATATTAAATATCATTAATTATAATATATAATTAATTTTACATAAAATTTTATATC